CACTCAATAAATTTTGAAGTTATTTTTCAACTGATTAGTTGACTTCTTGAAGCCAATGGAAACCTATTATCTATTTACTAACTTTATTTAATTTCACTAGAAGTATTTCTCCACATTGTCAGCATGGAAATGAACTCAGTTCAAATTAACTATAGTACATAAAGTCGGTCACTTATATTGCATTTTCAAAAACTCTTGTCAAGTGAATGCAGCTATATTTTTAAATATAGTTTCTTGATTTTCTTCACATCTTGATAATGTACTTCTCACTTATGAAAAATTTACCAAATGTGCAATGAATAAATATAACATTGTACCTAAAAATGAATCCTAGGTTCAACAATTTACTTCATTATGTCATTGAATTAATGTGGACAGTAAAAGCATTAATCAATGTTAAATTTAAATAATTAATGTGAAGTTTAGTAGCTTCAGTAAAAACTTCAATAATAGGACTTGTACGTTGTTATGTATCTAGCAAACCAGCTAACTAGATATATTCTTAGTAGGTACTCATAACAGCAAGTTTTTTTGATTTGGAACATACTCTTGTTATTTGTTATTCAGACAAGCGCATAAACAACATTTAGCACTGCTTTCCAAAATCCCTTTCACTATTCTGCAGCACTAGCTTCTAAGAAGCAAAGTCTACTCTGTCCAAATTTGGAAAATAAACAAAAATCAAACCTTCCCCCCATCACCATGCATGAATGAAGATTGTGAAAGGACTGCAGATGTTAATCAAAATTCTTATAACATTTCTCACACAGCTTTTGTCTTCACCATCTACGCGTTACCACTAGAAATAAATTGAAAGAGTTGTGAGACAGAAAGCTTGGGTTTCCTACAGAGTTACTAGAACAGAAGGAGTCAGCCTGAATACCCAGGGTGCCATAGCATTTTCTTCTTTCCTATTTACCAACTGCTCTCAGCTTCTAATAGTCCCTGGACTTGAACACCAGTCTCCGTGGATTTTCTCTTCTCTACTGTTGTAAATAAGGAAAATAAAAAAAGATTGATTTGCTTTGTGAACAGTCATGTTGTGTTTTCACAATTTACAGTGTACCCTTCTCAAATTAGCTTAATCTAAATCCTTCATATACTGTGAAAATACCTTTGAATTAATGAAATGGGAAATTCTGGAAGCCTCCTCATACACCACAGGATCAAGAGTTCTAGTGATCCTGAGCAAATGTTTTTGTTGTCTGAAAAATGACTTTATTTTTGTTGATCTTTAATAATTTAAACTAATGCTAATGCTCTATTAGGAAAAAACTTAAAACAATGCAAACTGGGGTTTTTATTGTTTTCAGACATCCTTAGTCCTGACCACTTGTATTAAAATGAGAAATCTGCTCTCTGGCCCTTTCCAATTTTGGGGAAAGCACGCCTGAAAAGATTCAGTGTTCAGAAAAGTTAGGTAAATCAGGACTTGGGTGTTGTTTTAAACAAAGCCTCTTGAGGAGGGGGGGGGGGGGGGGGGGGGAAGGGACAATTAAAATTTTATCAACCACATTTAAAATGTACTTTTTTATAATCACATTCACATCAAGCCCTTGAAAGTGGATTATCCCAGTTATGAAGAGGATGGGAAGTCCTTTCATTGACTGATGTAACTGTGCCATTGATTTTATGCATTCCAGCCAGGAAGAGAATGCTCAAAAAGCCTTAACACATTTAACAGTGTCAGAGGATGGCTGAAAAGTGTTTGCATATCGCAGTATCTGCAGTGCTTGTTGTTAAGCACTGCATCTAACAATGTTTTAATGTACAGCATGCATTTAGTTCCTAGTTATCTTTCTTCTACAATTTTATACAATTTCACATTTAAACCCATCTCTCTGTCTGTCATATGAAAAAGACATCCTTTTTTTTCTATTTTTAGCCTGCTGGTTTTCAGAGGATGGAATGAGAAAGAGAGTGTTGTAATGAAAGGAGAAAAGAGAAAGACAAAGAGACTTCTAATTTCCCCTTTTTACTGGAGGCAGAAAACATCTTTCTTTCTTTCTTACATGCAAAAGCCTACAGAACAGGAGTACAAAACTGAGGAACATGGCAGAGGTAGAAAAGTGAGGAAGGAGAATTAAACACAAAGAGTACAAGGGAACTCTTTTAATGTTTCATACAACTCCATAACTGATTACCCTTATTTAGCCTTTTTATTCCATAAGTGCTAAGAGGCAAAAATGGAAGAACTTGTTCTAGATGTATGCTTTACAAACATAAAATCTTACAGTCCTTAGCCTAAAAAGTTTATAGTAAAAAAGGAGTTCTGTGTAAAAAAAAAAAAAAAAAATTAAAAAAAGGAAACAAAACTCTTAATAACCTGGTTTGTCCTTTGGACGTTACCAAACCTCACTGTAATTACAAGGGAAAGGTTAGTTCTGAGGATACTAGGGTAAGTTATTCAGAGCAGGGATTTGCCTGGAAGACAATCGAGCAGCAACTTGGAAGCTGTTACAACAGTCGTCCTTTGAGTATTACTCCACTAAGATATTAATGACTTCTTTTGGATCTAACAGACATGCATTTTTCAGTATCACTTTATAGAATGGTGAGATTGACTTTATATATTCTTGCAGTTTTAGTTTTAGTTGTGTAATTTGCAACAGGTAAGACTGAAGGAAGAAATTCCTGCATTTGCACGTGAATACAGAACACAGTCCACGTATTCAGTGGTAAATGAAAAGAGAGTTGCATATTCTTACATTATAAGACCAGTGAGATCTCTCTGAAGGGAAAAAACATGAAATCTGGAAAGTGTGAATCAAAGCTAAAGTAGGTATCATTGGCATTTCTGCTTTTCTTTATTTTCTGGTACCACCTAGAAAAGTAGGTAGCAATTCAGAAACAATTGCTGTAACAATAAATACACATCCTGCATGTGTCTGACAGATGGAGGAAAAGACTGGAGAGAAAGAATTTGTCTTTCAAATTGTTAAATATATTTTAACACTATAAGACTATAATCACCTATTTTTTCTTCAACAGCAATCACTGAATTGTACTACTAAAAGCACATAGTAATTCTAGATGTTTGAAATAAAAAAAGAGATGATAAACAGTCTGCAATTTATTTGGAATAAAAGCATTTATAGACAGAAAAAATAAGCATTTCAAGAACTCAGAATGTCATTAATATAGAAAAAAATCTTAACCAGCTTAAAAAAAGTTTTTATATTTTTGATGCTATCAGATTCTTTACGTACTGCATTACAGTGGATAACAGATGAAGTAAATACTCCTTTTAAATTCAGCCTCATCTTAGAAGATAGTTGTCATTGATTTGTTTCCATAAGCTATCTATAGGATTGATCCCGTACCAAATAAGTAAAATACATAATATTTTTCAAAAGTAGTTACTAATCACGCACAAAATATTTTAATTGTACAACTGTTTATTCAATAGGTTTTATTATTTTTAGTAACATGGACATTGTCTTCTTTTTATCCTTTAGACCTGTAGATTTTCTGTTGGCTGCATGGCAATAAGGTTCACAGAAGAAAGCCATAAGATGCTTTATTAGGTATGACAGGGAAAATCACAGTAGTGAACACAGATAATTAAAATCTAGATTTTAGGTATATGCTAAAGAAAGCTCTTCGGTTTGGAAATGTTTGAGAACAAGACTTTGACTAAGGATGTAAACACTGTTGAATGCACAAGGTAAAGGACTGGGAAGAAGCAAATCTGATAGACTTTCAGTGAAGCTTATAGACAGAAAAGAATGTACTCTCATGAAGTACCACAGACATGAGATTTCAAATGGGAGACTCAGATGAACTTTCAGCTAGGAATGATAAAGTCATATGTTCAGCTTCCATTTTTAACTTTTAGTAGCCTTGGTACTTAAAACAGTGGCTGGTAAGTTGAATCTTGGCCACATTTACTACTTAAAGCAGTATCATTAGATTGTTCTAGTAATAAGAAGTCAGGTTCATAGTCTCCAGGCAGATGTTGCCAAGGGATTCTGTGTGTTCTTAGCTTCTCACACCCTTCTCCTGGCATGAGCTGTCTGTTCTCTGGGATGGGGCAGCTTATCTGTGACCTAATCTGCAGCCAGGTTGAAATTTTCGATATCCTTAATCTTTTACTCTTTTTACTCGCTTTTACAAGGCCAAGTTTAAGGTAGAAAGCCCAGAGATGTGCTTTACTGATGTTCAGTTTAAAGTCAGATAGTAATGAATGGAAATAGAAGACACATATATGGAGACCATTCAGAAGAGATCAGCTGTGTAAAGCATGACTTAGGGCTAGAAATTGAAAAAAAAAATCCTAAAAACCCAACAGATTAAAGTACTTAAACCAAACAATTAAAGAGGTTTTGCTTAAATTGCTTAAAATATATCCTGTTCCCTTCATGGAAAGAAGATGTGGAGAATAAAAAGCAGTAATCAGCTTTCTAAGAAGAATATTTTTTTAAAAGTCCAGGGATGAAGAGCTGTAAAGGAAGACAGCAGGAAGATTTACATTGTCCAGCAGATCAATAAATTATAAGAATTATGCATTTGTCTTCCAAATGCTTATACCAGTTTTTAATGTTTTATTCATTAACGCAGTAATTAATAGTAATTAAAGTACACCTTAAATATATAACAACTTTAAAATATCCTTCAGTTGTTTATTTGTAGGTCTATCTACTTGTACTCTTATTTGCTCAGGACCATGACCATATACATTTAAAATTGTCCACATTTTGTCCTTCACGTAGAAAGTATACCATGTTAAGATGCAGTTTTTAAGACTATCAAAAAGAGTCTGCAGTAGATCAGTTATTGGATTATGTCCACACCATTTATTCCAACAGAGAAAGAACTGGAAAATAAGCATCAGATAATTAGATGATGCAGAAATAGCGAAGTCTGCACACATAAACTTACTGAATCAGTTTTATTAAAGATTAAATTTAAGCTTGGAAATCTACTTTCAAGTGTAATTTAGGTAGCAAAAAGCAATGATGAACAGTCATTTCATTTAGCTGATTCAGCAAAACACTTACTGTATGTGCATCCATACACTTCAATGCGCATTCCAATTCTGCCGTTTGGATTCCAGTCCAAAGGCACGAAACGGAGAAATCTGGCTTTAATGGAATGCTGAAGCTTATAGTATACGACACTGTCTGCATTTGTGTTTCCAGAAAAAGCCTAGAAGAAAATGAAAAAGAGATCAGTCACATCCATATTGAATACAGATATAAATGGAAGTATTGCTGATCTTTTCATTTTATACTCTCATCTGGCAAACAGTCAAGCACAGGAATAAAATGTAGTTGTCAGTAAATTCCATAGGAACAACCACTGAATAAATCCTGATTATTCTTCTTGACAGTGTTAAGTCATCTGTGCTATACACATATGTACAGTACTGACACCACACTCATTGAAAAATCTCACATCTTCTGAAACCTGAGTGAATGAAGCATTTCAAAACCAAATATTGCTTTCACAGAATATGTAGAGCATCCTGGCATTTCAGTGTATTGTACCATTTAATATTTTTTCACAAGACAACAGAGCGAGCTCTATGATTTCCTCTTGCCAAAATGTTCGATCAATCTCATTGCAAACCTGTCTTTTAGACACATACTATGCTGAATCAAAAAAAGTTCTTATACTGACAGACCATGGTGTTGAAAGACTCTGGTTTCCAACTAAATAATTCAGAGTATTGTATAGGGAATTTAATGTTCTGTTGAAAAAGAAAAATCTAAATTTCCTTTTTTTTTTCCTGAGAGATAAAAAATTAAAATATTATCATAGAAATATTTTTGGCAGTATTTAACTGATAAGACTACTTTCCCTTTTTGATACACGAAGTAAACATAAAGAAACATAAAGAAATGTAAAGAAGAACTTAAAAAATCTAAAGAGCTGTAATCATGAAATTTAGCATCCTAAAGACTGATGAATATCTTTTGATTTTGTTGATTACACGTTCAGGTGTTGTGTGGTAATTTTTTTCTTATTGTCTGTGATATGTGAAGCAAAAAGAATTTTTTCACTTTTGATTTAATGATCTAATAAATTAGACATAAATAGCTCTCTGAAATATTTTGATGAGCAGAATTAAAAAGCTTACATGTTTCTGGATCTAAGGACTGTTGCTATAGCTGTAAGCCACAGATGTTATAACTGCAGAAGCATACAGAAACCAGTATCTTTAGGTAGGCAGCTTCTCTTTCCACTGGTTTTTGAAGCAGAGCTGACCTTCATTGCATTTATCATTTACTCTCCTATAAATTAATCTTTGCATCTTCCCTCTGCTGTAGTAGTAAAATTTTAATAAATTCTAATCTCTGAACATTCAATAGAAAAAAAGAAAAAAGAAAAAAGTTAATAAATGAGCTCATTACAGCTAGCCTATTAAAGTAGTATTAAACAATGAGAGTTAGAGACTCTGAATGTCCACACAACTTTCATCTTCATGCTGTATAATTTCACTATCACAGCAGATGAAGGTGGAAACACGACAAAACAAACACTGGAGAAGTTCTACTATTTGAAGGGTGAGACCCTTCCAGACCTCTTTTCCCTTTAAATCCTTGTTTGCAGTCTAACAAATATAACTGCCAATGAAAGTGCCAATTAGTTTGCTGACTGAACCAGAACCCAGGCCCCAGAAGTTTAAGTACTGTGAGGAAATGAAATGTTCGATTAAGATTTAGATTTTTTCCAAAATAATTTTTGGAGGGCAGTCACTTCATGAAAATTAGTTGTTAAGTTTTGAGAATCGAATGCATATTGCTTGATTTTTTACTGCAGGGTATAATTAAGCCATGTGTTCGTAATTTAAATTTAGGTTTTGCCTTCCGTAACAGCCTAAAAGTAATTTAAACTACCCCTTAAAGCATTCAGAATGGTCAGTTTAGAAATCAATATTTTTAGCTGTCATTTTACAAAGCCTTTATCTGGGAAAAACAGGATTTAAAAGTGTATCAACAGCGTTGAGTGTTAAATGGGCCTTTATTGCTTGATTTTAAACACTCTAAAGGTTAAAATATATAGATTGAGGCTTTTTTCAGTTTTAATCCTTTTCACAAGAGAAAGAGAAAACAACCAGACAGCTTTTCCTCCAGACTACAAATACTAAAGGCATACCCGAAGCCTAAGAAAGTAGCTTGTAGGCTTTTCAGAGTAGTAGCATATTCAACATGACAGACACAATCCTGTCTCTACAGTAGAATACAATTACTGTTTCACTGTCTTATCCAGTAATTGTTTAAACACACAGCAATTATAACCATATAATGAGCTTCCTTCCTCCTACCCCTGCCTTCTTCAGACTGATCAGATCACTTCATTCTTGTGCTAAATCACTCAGAGGAAACACGCTATTATTCTAGATTATGCAGAATCCTCACAATCTACACAGGCATCTGACGGTTAAAAGAGTCAATGTGACCATCAGTTAGTATGAATGTTAGACATAATAATGATCATTTGCATAAATATTAATAGGGTTGTAAAGCTAACACCTCCAATATAACTGCCTACTGAATCTTAGTTGATCCTCTTACAGATACTACATTATACTACTTTTTAATATTAGGAAGACATATCACCTTTCTCAAAGAATGCAATTTTTGAAACGTGGAATCACTATAGTGCAGTTTAGCCTTAAATAGTAACAGGGGCATTCAGCAGCATAGATGTCTAAATAGATAGCTCTTCATAGCCTATTTTATTCCACAAAGGAAAAGTACCCTGGGCTGTACTGAAGCCTGAAATGAGGGCCTACTCTCAAACTTGATTTAACCCTCCTACTCAATTTCTAACCCTGCAGTTTCTTTACCTCAAGCTGTTCTAACACTGCTTTGAAGACAGAATTATTTAGTTCATTGTGGCACCAAAATGACATATGTTCTGGACTGCATCAGTAAAGTTAAATCCTGTGTGTAGAAGGGCATCACCAGGCTTATAACAATTGTGAAGGCAAGCTTATATGAAAATAAGGCAAAAAGAAAGTTCTTTGTTTCTCCCTCCATCCCATATTTAGAAAGCAAATTGGTTTTAGACCAGGGATAACACCAGCATCATGTCCAAAACTTCCTCAGCCAGTCAAAAAGTCCCCCATAGGTAAAGCAGTGTATGAGTCACGGACTGTGTATAGAGAGCCATACTTTAGATCACTTAGAATAGATGACACTTATTTATGAAAGCAACTTTTACTGTATAATACATTATATATACACTGTAAAACATACTCTAGGACTGAATAATATGCACAATGTTTTTACATAAATTGTGTACCCATTGTAAGAAATATTATGACATACATTACAGATATTACTTCAAATTAAATACAAATATTACTATGTTAAATAAGTATACTTACATGAAAATTCTCATTTCATGTTTAATAACAACTGGAACAGAACCCATCAACCTGGATAATTTTGTCAGAGGAGGAAGTTTAGCAGTGATGTACTAGTTAACTCAAGAATGCTCTGAGCTTTGTTGTGTGATTTATGAATTCTACTACTAAAACCAGCAAAAGCAGTTGACAAAATCAGTGTGAGGTAACTAAGAGGTGTTCACATAAAATACTTTCCATTGTTGCATGATGATGTTACATGATACTTTTTTTTTGCATGGAAAATTATTTCTCTTATCAAGAAGAACACAAATATCTCAGTTAGTTTCTAGCCATCTCTGAGTGCTATTAAAACTACAGGTGGCAAAAATGAACTATTGAGTGCTCTTCAGAATGTTTCAAAAAACTATTTTGCAACTGCATTACTAATGGTTTTATACATGATGAGCTAGAAACTTAGAAAGGGAATTTATTTAATTAAAGATTACATTGTACATAGTTATCTTAAGTAACTTCCCTTCATAAGAAGTTACTCAATTGTGTCTCTGCTTATTATAGAATACCTTATGGAGAGTTATTCTGATGTACTATGACGAAAAGCAGGAAGAGAGTGGCTATCTTTTGAAGAAATATAACTCCAGCGACTATACATAGTTAGCTATTTCAAATTATTCAGCATCCAAAAGAATTCTCTGAGATATTCCAGAACAAAGTCTCAATTGCTACCTGCAGTATCTTTTCCTGTTTATGGCAGCACATTAGGGGGAATGGTTTAATGCATTAAACTGTTTCGTTGACCAGTATGACCATGACCTAATCTTTGCTGTCTACTGATATTCTTAGATTTAAAACTCAGGATCTTTATATTCATGTTTATATTAGGTAGTTCAAAGCCATGTCCTGTTACATGGTCCTGTTATTTGCCTATTCCTACTTCTAAACTTCTTTAAGCTCTTTTTTTTTTTTTCTTTTTTTCTGGTAGTAATGGCAAATCGTAACATTGTAGAAGTGTTCTGGATGTTCTCAAGCTTTTAAAGAGCAAAATTTTCCTAAAATTCACAGCATAAAAGGCAACAGGCAGTGAAGGATGCAAGAAATACATTATACAATTAAAATGATCAGCAAGTTGGTCAATATGACCAGTGGAATTCCTCAATAATATACATCAACTACACACAGTTCCTCTACAAACTTGCAAAGATAAATTGTTGCTTTTGCAGTTCCCTCTTTTGAGCATTGTTTAAAACAAACTTGTTCCAAAAGACTTGCAAAGAAGATCTATCTTTCAGCTAGAAGTGCTAAGGAACAGCTAAACATCAAAACCAAATTAATCTGTTACTTAAACTTCAAACAAAATAATGAAATCAGCAAGCCATGACATACCTTTAACCAATAACTGGATTGTATTTTATGTCATATTATTTTTCATTCTACTTTTGTACTTTGTTTGCTGACAATATGCCCCTAAAAAAGTCTCTTGGGTACTTAGATTTGTGTAAGCAGTGAATCTATGTTTCACTTACAATATTAACTAAAAAGAAGATACATGGTCTTGAAACAGCCTGTGTAAAAACATTTGCAAATGCATTTTAAGGAACAGAAAGAAGAAAACAACAATTACTAAAATTAATGAGAGCTTGTGGTGGTTTGGTGTCTGGTGGGGTTTTGGTAGTGGGGGAGGGGGCTACGGAGATGTCTCCTGTAAGAGGCTTCAAGAAGCTCCCTTGGCTCCAGTTTTGGACCCGCCTCTGGCCAAGGCCAGACCAATGGCATCTCTGCAAATAACTATT